TAAATAAACCTGTTTTCAAAGTTGGGAGAATACAAGGTAATACAGTCCTTGGATTCCTGCAATAGCAAACATTTGTGTTGTTTACTATGTTCCCAAGCTAGCGATGGAGCAATGAAGAAAGAAAGGGGGGGGGGGGGAGGAAGGAGGAGGGAGGGAAGAAAGAAAGAAAGAAAGAAAGAAAAGTTATCCCAAGCTGCCCAGGAAGCTTATGTTTTAATAAAGAAGACAGACAATATACAAGAACCCAAAAAGTTAAATAAAACACCAATTGATGGGTGAACCTGAATTAGGCAGAAAACGCCAGCCTTGGGTAGTGATGATTGGCAGAACTCAGAAAGAAGAGAACAGCCAGACAACTAGAAATGTGGAGGGAAAACCTCTCAGACAAGGGAAACGACAAACTAAGCCTTTGGGGCAAGAACGTAGTGTTTCTTGAACAAGTCCCAAAGAAACAGACAAGGAGAAGGCAGGACCAGATCCTCCGACTCTGGGGAACAGTGGAGACCTCTTAATTACATTCTAGAAAATGACAATCGATAAACTTTAGCTAAGAGCTGATGATTTGTTTGCAAAGAACACCCCCTCAGCTACATGAGGGATGTTTGAGACAGAGTGGAGGCCAAAGAAAAGTGACCCTCTGGTTCGGACGGGAATGCTGGCAGTGGGGATTGGAGAATGATGTACAAATGGGAACCATTCAAACACAATGTATTCAGGTCGAGGCTGGGTGTGCACCACGATCTCCTTGGTTTTTCTTTAGGCACGGTCTCACTTAGCTAGCCTTGAATGCAGGAACCTCCAACTCAACCCCCAAATGCTGGGGTGATGGGTACGCAACACCATGCCCAGCAAAAGTATTTTATTTTGTCCTCAATCCTTGGTCAACTCTTGGTCCTCCTCCTACCCATCAGCAAGATATGCCACAGCTGGTTCTTCCTTCCCCTTGAATCACTTTCTCTCCCAGGTTCCTGAACACCAGCTACCTCCTGGTTCTCCTCCTCCCTCCCTTGCCCCTCAGTCTCTGCAGGTTGCTATGCACTTCTCTTTGTCAGAATTGGAACATCCCTGGGCTTTGTCCTTTCTCTCCTTTTCGCCTATGCTCACTCCCTTGGCCAGTCTGTCAAGCACCATAATTCAACATCATAATGGGTTGATGATTCCAAATGTGTTTCTCTTCTGATCTCCAGCCCTGCCAGGATGCTGAGTTACAACCCCAATATATCTAAACCGAAATCTTCCATCTTATTTCCTCCTCCCTAAACCTGTACTTCCCGCTGTTACAATGCTATCCCAGTTTCTCCATACTGCCGTTGTCCCCGTGGAGCTCACCCTACAAAGAAAATCCTTCTACACTGTTTCCATCCTCCTCAACCTTTGCTGCCACCCTACAAAGAAAATCCTTCTACACTGTTTCCATCCTCCTCAACCTTTGCTGCCACCCTACAAAGAAAATCCTTCTACACTGTTTCCATCCTCCTCAACCTTTGCTGCCACCCTACAAAGAAAATCCTTCTACACTGTTTCCATCCTCCTCAACCTTTGCTGCCACCCTACAAAGAAAATCCTTCTACACTGTTTCCATCCTCCTCAACCTTTGCTGCCACCCTACAAAGAAAATCCTTCTACACTGTTTCCATCCTCCTCAACCTTTGCTGCCACCCTACAAAGAAAATCCTTCTACACTGTTTCCATCCTCCTCAACCTTTGCTGCCACCCTACAAAGAAAATCCTTCTACACTGTTTCCATCCTCCTCAACCTTTGCTGCCACCCTACAAAGAAAATCCTTCTACACTGTTTCCATCCTCCTCAACCTTTGCTGCCACCCTACAAAGAAAATCCTTCTACACTGTTTCCATCCTCCTCAACCTTTGCTGCCACCCTACAAAGAAAATCCTTCTACACTGTTTCCATCCTCCTCAACCTTTGCTGCCACCCTACAAAGAAAATCCTTCTACACTGTTTCCATCCTCCTCAACCTTTGCTGCCACCCTACAAAGAAAATCCTTCTACACTGTTTCCATCCTCCTCAACCTTTGCTGCCACCCTACAAAGAAAATCCTTCTACACTGTTTCCATCCTCCTCAACCTTTGCTGCCACCCTACAAAGAAAATCCTTCTACACTGTTTCCATCCTCCTCAACCTTTGCTGCCACCCTACAAAGAAAATCCTTCTACACTGTTTCCATCCTCCTCAACCTTTGCTGCCACCCTACAAAGAAAATCCTTCTACACTGTTTCCATCCTCCTCAACCTTTGCTGCCGTTGTTTTGTTTTTCGAGACAGGGTTTCTCTGTGTAGTCTTGACTCCCCTGGGACTCACGCTTGCTGTGGGACAATCTTTTCTTACACTGTGAAGATTTTTTGCTCTCATTGATTTAGTGAAGAGCTAAAATGCCCAAAAGCTAGGCAGGTAGAGGTTAGGTGGGACTTCTGGACGAAAAGAGAGCTCAGGAACAAAGAAGGGCAGAGTCACCAGCCAGATGCAGAGGAAGCAGGAGATAACCATGCTGTGCTGAAAAAAAGGTATTGCCACATGATAGAGTGTAGATAAGAAATATGGGTTAATTAAGTTGTAAGAGCTAGTTAGTAATGAGCCTAAGCTATCAGCCGAGCATTAATAATTAATAAAAAGTCTCGGTGTCAATCACTAGGGAGCCAGCAGTCCTGATGAAAAACCCTGCCCATACACACTCAGAGATTCACTTCTTCTGCCTCTGCCGGCATTAAAGGTGTGTGCCACCACCTCCAGCTTCCTCCTTGACTTTCTAAAAAAGAAAAACTAAGCCGCTTTTCCTGGTTTTCTCTGTCCACCTCACTGCCACTCCCAATTGTAAGACCCATCAGATACCCCTCAGTCCTGTCCCTGCCTTACTCTTCTCTCCCGCACACTCTCCTGGTAAAAAAAAAATCTCCACTGTGGTTCTTCCGTACTGTCTGGGAATGTGGTGTGAGACCCCCCGAAGAGTTGTATGAAGAGACAACTAACAATGAACATTAGATATACTATATTTTCTTCTATACACACATACACACACACACATGCACACAGAGACGCATGCACATATGAGCACACATGTACTGCACACACACGCACGACACACACATAGGTGCACACACACGCACACACACACAGAGCCAGTATGCTCTAGCATGCTTTCTGTTCCTGTGATAATGACCGTGACCAAAGCAATTTGGGGGTGGGGGGCAAAGGGTTTTTTGCATCTTGTGGGTTACAGTCCATGACTGAGGGAAACCAGGGCAGGATCTGGTGCAGGAACTGACGCAGAGGCCATGGAGGAGCACTGCTTACTGACGTGTTTCCTGTGGCTGACCAATTACTTCTTTCATACAGCCCCAGGGACACCTGCCCAAAGGTAGCACTGCCCAGGGTCGGCTGGGTGGGTCCTCCCATGTCAATCAGCCATCAATAAAATGTCCCACAGACATGCCACAAGGCCAGTCTGATGGAGGCGGTTTCTCGACTGAGGTCCCTTCTTCCCAGGAGTGTCAGGCTGACACCCAAGATTAGCCGTCACACGGTGACAAAGGTTTCCTTATGAATTAGGTAAGAGATGAGCCACACTATGACGGAACATGTATGTAACAGACAGTATAAAGGTTCTATGACTGTGGTGGCACTCGAGACATCGAGCTGTACCGTGGCACTTGGCCACCAGAACATGCCTTTTCCTCCTTTCCTTATGAAACACTTGTTTTCATTCACAAAAGGAATTTACGCCTTCTCCTTGGCGCATCGTTGTCTCCAGCGTCGCCACTCTCGTACATCGTGATGATTATTAAACACGATAAGGGTCATGTAAACACAAACCCTGAGTTACCACAGCTGTCAGTCTGATACAGACGGGCCAATGAAGACCGCAGGGAGGGTGTGCTGGAGAAAGGGGTGATTCAAATCTTGGGTGGGACAGAGCAGGGCAGAGAGAGATGTCATCAGACTGCCCAGAAGGGTATAAGCAATGTCAACTGTTTGTTTCTGGGATTTTCCATTTACAATTTTCACAGCCTTTGATCGCAGTTATGTGAAACTCAAAAAAAAAAAGTAGATAAAGGGGTGGTGGGAATGAGTACCCCATGTTTGCTTTCGTGCGGGACTATAATCACAGAAATCTATGACTTGGGGGAGGACTTTTTTTGTTAACTTGATGCTTTCCTGGTTTGGAAAAAAGTACCTTTCGAAGACGTATATATACTAGGTGCTTAATGAACCGTTAGGATGTTTGGATGAATAACAAATGCAAGTTAAAACTGTGTATTCAGCCAGGCGGTGGTGTCGCATGCCTTTAATCCCAGCACTCAGGAGGCAGAGGCAGGAGGATGTCTGTGAGTTCAAGGCCAGCCTGGTCTACAAGAGCTAGTTCCAGGACAGGCTCCAAAGCAACACAGAGAAACAATGTCCTGAAAAGCCAAAAAACAAAACAAACAAACAAAAACATGTGTATTCATACTAATTTCACGACAAAAACATGGAGGTTAAAATTATTCTCCAGCCTGCTGTTCTTTTCCGCTTTCCTATCTATAACTACTCAGTTTGGAATGTGTTAGACCAGAAAATGCGTTAGACCAGAAAAGACGGTAGCCCTAACGAAAGAGTCGTTTTCAGTTCAAAGAAGTAAATTGGCAACAGAAACAAACAAAATGCAATCAGACACTCAGAATGAGCCACAAAAATCAAGAGAAGAAGGAAGCTTCTGCAATCCTAGCGGAATATAAAAATAAAAATAAAATGCATGCGTTCAGAGTTGGTCTTTAGTCCACTTTTGTCCTGTTTTGCGACCCATGAGTGAGCAAGAGATGCCAAGAGAAGACACTGACACCAAACCGGGACTTAAGAAGGGTTTCTGTGCAGATTTTTTATTTTGACCTGAAACATGTAGGAGAACTAAGGGCTGTGATAGCGAGGGGTGTCCCCTTCTGTCTTGTCTCCAGAACCCCGCCCCTGTCCTGGTGGCGCCCTCCCCAGCGCCGTGCCTCAGCTTACCACCTCCGATGGAATTCGTGCTTCTGTTCCTCCGAGGTGGCTAGAGCCTTCTTTTTCTTCATAAAGCTTAACAGCTCCCGGATCTCCTTTTCGCAAGAGGCCAGAAGCGGGTTTTTAGCGTCCAGGGGCCCGTAGAAGGCGGCAGAGGGCAGCAACTTCTCGGAACAGGACCAGTACGACGCTTTGGACGAGCTCGACTTGGACTCCGAGGGCGACTTGAGAATCGCAGTGGAGGTCGGCGGAGGCGTTGGGGGCAGTTGCACCGGCGACACCGATGCCTCAGAGTCCTGGGACTCCGAGGAAGAGCTGGAGGAGGTACTGCTGGTCGCCATGTCTATCCGAGTCAGCACACTAGGGGCTGGTGTACACGCGGTTGCCAGGCAACGGTCTCCTGGCAACCATGCCACCTGCACGCTTTCCGGAAGTACAACGGCCCCTAGAGGGCGAGGGAAGTACCAACAGCCTGGAAAGGCAGGATGGTCTGAATTTGTGGTCGCCTGGAAATAGACACAGGCACACGCAACAACATTAAATGAATGGATACATAAATTTAATCCTTTTTACGGTCATTTGATTTGTAACCACCTGGCACTGATGGATAACACATAAATAACTTTCGGTTTTCTTTGGAAGTTTTTGTTTGCTGTGGAATTTTGTTTTTAATTTCAGAAGGACCTCCTTATGCAGCCCACACTGGCCTCAAACTCACTATCCTCCTGCCTCAGTTTGAGTGTTGAGATTACAGCCATTCACAAGCAAGGCAGCTTGCGGGGTGGGGGGGTGAGGATGTAACAGAAAGCCAATAAAAAAACGACCATCCAACATTCATCTTTTTCCCATTTAATAACAATATCCACGGTTGCAATAATTATATTAAAATGTGCCTGACATTATTTCAAGCATTTTGAAACTTTCTTTTCCCTTCAAGATTGAGTTTCTCTTTGAAAGTTTCCCTAGTCACTCTGTGGACCAGGCTGGTCTCGAACTCACAGAGATCTGCCTGCCTCTGCCTCCTGATTGCTGGGATTAAAGGCGTGTGCCACCACCGCCCTGCTGAAACATCGCTCCTTCTCATTTACTCCTCATGACTTCATACCTGAGCTACTAACGCATCTCCGCCGCTTCACAGTTTGAGACCATGGCTGGACTTTGACTACAGTCAGAGAACAAAGCACAGTGTGTCCCAATTATGTGCTCTGAAGTCAGTGATCCTAAGGAATAAGGTGTATTGATTATGCCCCCTGTGGTAGTTTGAATGTAATTAGCTCCCACCACCCCCAGGCTCACAGGGAGTGGCACTGTTAGGAGGTGTGGCCTTGTTGGAGGAAGTGTGTCACTGTGGGGGCGGGCTTTGAGGTTTCCTTTGCTCAGGATACCTCCCAGTGTATCAGTCAACTTCCTGTTGGCTGCAAGATGAAGGATTCTCAGCCACTCCTCCAGCACCACACCTGGCAGCATGCCAACTATGTTCCCTAACATGATGACAATGGGCTAAACCTCTGCAACTGTAAGTGAGCCACCCCCAATTAAATGTATTCTTTATAAGAGTTGCTGTGGTCATGGTGTCTCTTCACAGTAATAGAAACCCGAACTAAGACACCCCCAAAAGAAGCTTATAAACACAATTTCGATTAGGAAACTCTCTGAGAAGCTGGTTAAGACAAACACCTGCCACGGCTACGTTCTCCTCCCTCGGCAGTGTGAGTTGGTGACTATGGGGTGAATATGTATGTCTCTAATGATCCCGATTACATTTACTATTTATTTGCACTTCAACCTACATGTCTCTCTATCCTAAATCAATGTGTATTTTACTTAGCGTTAACTCTTTGACATTAATACATGCTAATGGTTTAAACTGTTAGCTCTGGGGATATGTCTGCATTTTAAACAGGGGTGAGGGAGATTTTTCGTCTAATGGACAAACTACTGGCCTCGGGGGAAATGTTTAATATCAAGAAACGTTCTTTTCTTGCATTTCATGGGCCACATTGAGTCAAAGGTATTAATTTGGGGTTGGAATTTCAGCTAGGAGACTTATAAATTATGCAATACCAAAAATTATCAAAGAACCAGAGATTTATGGTGGCTTCAAAACCTAGGTCTTTAACACTGCAAGTGATAGTCAGTTCTTTCACACTCAAAAATATAGATGTGACCTTAATAGCCACCGAATGCTGAGAAGTTCATTGGGCCACAGCCTTATCTCTTACAGACTCAACCTCTTTATTTTCCTGCCCTATGGATTTGTGCTAACGTATAAGGCCAGCCTTCTAGGTCCTGTGACTGCACCCTAATATTCTTGGAAAGAAGATCACAGTGAAGTCACTCATTGGAGCAGGTCATTGCGACTAAGGAACCTTCTAGGTAACCAGTGAAACACAGAAACCCCTTCCTCACTGCCAGAGCCCGATTCTCCAGCCAAGATGCAGATGCCATGTCTGATACACAGTATTGGATCTCACTCTAGATGGGCAACAAAAACTTGAAATTTTTGAAACAATGCAAGTGGGGGTGGAGGGATTTGTCCATTGCACTTCGGCCAAAAGATATTAATAGGCACGTTTAAAAAATGTTTGGCTTGGTAGATTCCCCCAGTTCTCTTGTTCCCATTGTTTTCAGTAGTCCAGAGCCAGTGCAAATTGCCGCGGAGGACGCTCTATCCTAGTGACGAATAGAAATGGCAGGAGGCGGGGTCCAGCTCAATGAAAGTGGTCAGAGAAGAACGTAAAACGGAGTGGGCCCGCTCCTTCCCTGCGTGGGCAGCTTCTTACAGATGACCTTGCTCAAAGGGCACAGATTTCAGAGTCACTGACAGAAAAGAAAAGGTGACTGAACTCAACTGCTCGAATTACGAAACGTTCCGCCTTAGTCATCCTCCCTCCCTGCGTGCGCCTCTGCTAACAACGCTGCCCTGGCAGTGGGTTTTGGAAGCCTGTCTGAATATTTAAAGGGGTGTTAGGTTATGAATCATCATCGTGGCAAGATGGAAGTTTCCACTTTCTTCCCTTTCAATTACATTTGAGGGTTTTTAAAAAAAAAAAAAAAAAAAAAAACAACATTTTTTTTAGAGCCGCTGTCTTCCTGGAATGAGATGCAGCCTTTACAATTCCTTTTCTTTTCCCATGTCGCTTTTCCTTCATCTCCCTGTCATGAAAGGATAGAACGAGGCAAACACTGGCAGCGCCAGGCAATGTAAATAGCTTCCTCATAAATAATGCAAATTGCTGCTTCTTATAATTAATGCCTTTGCTGGCTGCAGAGATTCTTTCTGCTCATTCGGAATTCTCTTACATCTTAAGAGAATTATGGTTAGAGAAATAATAAGGTTAGTGGGTTTTTTTTTCTTGTTAGATATTTAGCTGTTAATCACTTTGACTGTCCTAATAGAACGCATGATCCTTTAAAAAAAAAAAACTATAAAAACTCCTTTTCCTACATCACCAACTGATATGCAAACTTAAGTTTTTGTTTCTTGTTTTTTCATACATTCACTTAAATGTGCCCATTCCTTTGTGTGCTTGTATAATCTATATATGAGCACTCACACACACTCCCTACAAGGTGAGTAGGGACAGCGATCCATAATAATAATAATAATAAAGCTGTGATAAGGTCAAAGGATCTTACAGAAGTCCCCAGATGAAGCTGGAGGCTGCACAGAGAACAAAGGATTGCCAAGGAGACAATGGCTTGGTTGTGGTCTAGAACTGCTTCTCCTTAACTGAAGGGCTCTGCAAACACCTGCCTGTTTACTCTAGGAGCCTAGAACCAACAAAGCACAGAATGGGCTAAAACGGGGAACATGGCCAAACACAGCGAGCAGCAGGAAGGTGCGCTCAGAAATCTTCCTTTGGTTTTGTATTAGTGGAGCCCTTGGGACAGAAAAGCATGTAGACTTCCCCAGCATGTGACAGCTTGACTTGGGATCTTTTTTCAGCCTTAAATTGGTGTAGAAGACTACCCCATATGACCATTTTGATTTTCACTTCGAATACAATATTTACTAAGTGACAAGAGAAATTCATCACGTTGTAAAATAGACTTTCTCTGGGGATGAGTTGGCCCAACTGTGGTCTGAGCCCACCTAATGTCCGTTAAGCTAAGCTACAGTATTTGGTAGGCTAGGAGCGCTAAGGTTCTTTTGACCTGTGGGTATCTTCAAGTTACAGTGGGCCAAGAGTAACCCATAAGTCAAAGCACTGATGTATAATGCCGACATTAAAAGCCCAGTGGGTTGGGGAGCTGTTCAGTCAGCTAAGTGCCGGTTGGAAAAGCATGAGAACTTGAATCTGGACCCCAATGAGCAAACCGATGCTGGATACGGTCACACGTGAATCTGTGTTCTGAAAGACCCTCAACGAGGACCTTTTTTTGGGGGAGGAGACCTCCCCAACGCCAAGGAACAGGCCGAGACCGCACGGATGCAAATCGCAAGAGGTTTATTGAGTAGACACAGGTACCTGCGGGCAGTAAGATCTCTCGGAAGATTTGCGCACCTGCCAACTGGAGGGCGGGCTTTTTATAGGGAAGAGCAAAAAGCAAGTTTACAAAAGCAAAAGCGTGGTTATCGGAATGAGGCGGGGGCGGGGGGCATGAATGGTTTCCTCTCTCAGCATGGATGTCTGGCAACAGTCATCCTGTTCCTATCTTATAGATATCCTGTTTTGCAGTCAACCTGCTTTGTTGATGTCCTATCTTATTGATATCCTGCCTTGCAGTCTTCCTATCTCATAGACATCCTGCTCTCTCAAGTACATGGGATGTTCTTAAGCAAACAGGACGTTCCCCCGGGAGCATGCTAGCTGCGGGTTTTGAGGAGGGGGTCTGTAGGGTCTTTCAGTTCTAGTGCTCAGGGGAGGAGTCCCAGAGCTCGCTCACTTGCCAGTTTAAGCAATCCGTGAGAGAACCTGTCTCAAGAATCGAGGTGCAGAACAATAGTGGAAGGAGCTCACCGTCCTCCTCTGACCCCTATACGCATGCGAGTGAACACTCATACACACACAAAGATCAAACTGTAGGACCAGAAAGCGAGATTCGAATGTTTAGTTCTTCCGCTGTATTTAGCCTCATGATGCCTTGCTTAGTTCATCTCTAAGACCTCAGAATCTGTTTTTGTCACTGCTGTTTTTTTCCCTCGAATAAATGACTTAAAACATGGGAATCCCATAAGACAGTGCTATGTAAATATTTGCTAATTAGGATTATTTAGTTGGGAATCATAGAAATTTCCTAAGCAGAGAAGTACAAGACCAAGTTGGTATTGTATATAGTTTAGAAAGGATATTTTTACGGCAGAACAGAAGACAAGAGAGACAGGGTGAAAATTGTA